ATCCAGTCTCAAAAAAAAAAATTATAGGTAGGGTTTTCTTTTTCCAAGCAGGGACTTGTGTTCTTGTCAATTTAAATTACCTTCATTAATCACTTTAAACATACTGTTCCTCAAATTTTCTTCTGTTCTCATAAACATTTCTGGATCTTCTGGGGGGAAAAAGAAATATTTTTTTCATAGACCTCCAAACTCATGCCCTTGTACAAGGGCACATTCTCTAGTGGCAACAAAGTCCGTATCAGCTTGGTTTTCAGTGACTTTGGGCAAAGTGTCCCGATCTATCACAGTGCAGTCTGGAAGCGGCCACTATCCAGCCGTTATTCACGTACACACTTGCGTGTTCCATCAGCGTGGACCTCATGGGGCACTGTGAGGGATGGCACAGGTACGGCTACTTGTCCTCCCAGGGTGCTGGCCCCACCCACATCCATGTAGGCCCTGTCCTTAGCCACCCCACCAGGAACCCATGGCAGGTGGCTACTGATCTCTATTTACAACCAAACCTTCTCAAAGCAATGGCGGATCATCACCTCACAGCGTTTGAAGGGGAGAGCTGTCCAGATGCACAGCATTCCTTGGCTCACATTAGCAAGAATGACTCACAGAATAGGAAAGAAAGTTGCTTTGCTTGCTCACACTGGTTCCAATAAGTAGGGAGAATCCTCAGTTAATGCCCAGCCCTAAGAAAGAGTCACTTATTTCATTTGAAATTTAAATAGATGTGCATATATATACAGCGTTTGAAGGGGAGAGCTGTCCAGATGCACAGCATTCCTTGGCTCACATTAGCAAGAATGACTCACAGAATAGGAAAGAAAGTTGCTTTGCTTGCTCACACTGGTTCCAATAAGTAGGGAGAATCCTCAGTTAATGCCCAGCCCTAAGAAAGAGTCACTTATTTCATTTGAAATTTAAATAGATGTGCATATATATATAATTTCATAATCTAAAAGCAAGAGAAATGTATCGCTCACACTTGCAGAGGCAGGGCAGCCCAAGACCAAGGTGCCAGGAGACTTGATGCCTGGTAAGTGCTTGTTTTCTCTGCTTCATAAGTGATGCCTATTGAGCCAGGCTTGATGGTGCAGGCCTGTAATCCCAGCACCAAGGCTGAGGCAGGAGGATCGCTGTGAGTTTGAGGCCAGCCTGAACTGCAGAGCAAGACCCTGACGCAAAAAACCAAGCAACCAACCAACCAAACAACAGCAACAAAAGCGTGCCTATTGCTGTGCCATCGTGTGACACAAAGGGCAAACAGGGTCCCTCTTTGGTGAGAGCATTAATCTCATTCATGAGGGCAGAGTACCCATGACCTCATCAACACCTTGCAAGTTAGGATTTCAGGGCATAAACAGGAAAGGGGGACTGACACAGACAGTCAGACTATAACAGGCACAGCAGAGACTGAATCTGATACATTTGAGTTTGGCACCCCAGCCGGCCACTGAGAAAGATAAGCCCTTGCGCTATGTATTCAGTGATCATGCCCGCCAGTGGTGATCATCTGTCGGTGGGACTTTCGGCGGGATTAAACGGTACACAGTTGGAAAGTGCTTGCTATGAAGCCCAGCTCACAGGTGGCACTCATAAAGAGGCGTTGGTTAAGGGCCCACCTTTAGTGCTCCTGCCCTAGTGCAGAATGAGAAATGAAGAAGATAAGCACCACTGATGGTTGTACTTTTTTTTTTTTTTTTGCAATAATGGGGATTAAACTCAGGGCCTTCATACTTAGCTATATCTCCAGCCCTTTTTTACTTTTTGAGACAAGGGCTTGCTAAATGGTCCAAGGTGGGACTCAAACGTGTGACCCTCCTGCCTCAGCCTCTGGAATGCTGGGATTACAGGGGTGGGGCACCCTGCCTGGTTTCATCGCTGCACTTCTTACTTGTGGGAACACCTTGGCGTGTACTTAGCAGAGGTTATCATGCATAGTTCCTCGATAGCTGAGGTTTGAAAGTATGTAGATGGGAAGGTATGTGAAGGCCTTCACATAAAGCCACGACAGCACATCGCTCACAAATACATGAGTGAAGCTGAGGTAAGGTGTTAGAGTCAACTTCTTTCACTTTGACCTGGATAAACCACAAACATGGCAGTGCTGAAATGGAAGAAGGCACTATGCTTATTGTTGTAACGTGTAGGACGGGTACTGAAGTATGGTAACAAGATACCTTTCAGAGTTTTATTTTCCAAGAATTTCTTCTCCCTCAATGTAGCAGTGGCAGAAATCTGAGTGGCCTTCCATGTCTTGGGAGAGGCTGCGCATTACCCTTTAGTTCCATTCCACAAATGTCTGTACATGGCAGGGACAGTGAAAGCAGTGGGTATACCAAAGATAAAGACAACACCAATCTGTTGTGGTTGCTTTTTTGAGACAAGGTCTTGCTTTGTAGTAGAATAGTTCAGGATGTCCTTGAGCTCACTATGTAGCCCAGGGTGGACTTAAACTTGAGGCAATCCTCCTGCCTCAGCCTCCCAAGTGCTTTACCACCCCCAGCGGCTACAAAGTCATTCTTGCCTTGAGACTTTTATAGTTTAAGGAGACACCCAAGCATATGTGACTATAGCCCAGTGCGGAAATGAAACAGCACAAATGGGGACAGCTTGTTTCCTCCTCCAAGTTCAGCTGTTTTCCTCACTGCAAGAAAACGGGTCATATTTTTACCATGGAAAGTGGCAAAGGCTACTACAACTCTTGGCATTTATTTATTTGTGAGAGCCAAGCATTAAACATTTACCCTCACATCACTGGGTATCTATAAATGGCTTTATGAGCACAGAAGGAAGCATGAAATGAATCTTTCTTGGGACCTGGGGGGAAACCAGGAAAGGATACCGATATTAGAGACTGTAGGATGGTGGGCCAGTGGGTCAAGGAGAAGAAAAGTGGCAAAATCTTTTCAAGGGCACAGGGCTTGAGAGAGGAAATCACAGCTCATATTTATGTTCAAGGGGATGACAGCCGTGATCGTGAGACCCTTCCGTTGGGTAAATCGATGTGTGGAAGGATCTAGGTCCAGCGGTATTCAGCGGCAGCAGCCCTGGCGTGCTTCCTGTGTCCTGTGCTTGGGCACATCTGGGACAGGAAAATACAGTCTTCCATCCCCATCCTTTTTTGAGGCAGGGTCTCCCACATAGCCAGGCTGACCTCGAACTCCTGGTGATCCTCCTGCCCCAGCCTCCCGAGTGTTGAGATTACGGGTATGTGCCACCATGCCCCGCAAGTCGTTCTCGCAGTGAATTAAGAGTCCTTTGGTAGTGGGATAAAATGCTGATTCCTAGAGGCCTCTGCAAACCTACCCAATCCAATTTTCTTTGAGCAGGGGCCTGAGAAGTCAACAGTTTTCCCAGAAATTTCCTTGCACATTGAACTTTGGAGATTATTCTTTGAAAGCATGATTTTGCTACTCGGGGACATTTGGTAATGTCTGAAGCCATTACTGATCATGGCCATGGGCGTGCTGCTGGCAGCTCAGGGTGGAGAGCAGAGTAGTGGGCCCTGAGGAACACGGGACAGGGTACCCAGGTGCCCCCCGGGCCGGCAAGGCCGAGGTTCAGAGACCCTGGTTTAGGTCACATGAAAGCCTCTGCAGTAAGGACCGGAAGTGGGCCATGGTTAACCTGTGTCACATGATGTGTCCCGAGGCTGCTCAGGTTGGGGGCTGGCCTGGGGTCAAGGACCTCTGGGTACATACATTAGGCAGCCAAATTTTCTTCTCTCTCACTCTCCCTTTCTTTCTTTTTCTGCAGTACCGAGAATTGCACTCAGCGCTTTCACATTGGGCCACATTCCCAGCCCTTTTTACTTTTTGAGATAGGGCCTCACTAAATTGCCCAAGCTGGGCTTGAATTTGGGATGCTCCTGTCTCCGCCTCCTAGAGTACAGGAGTGCACCACTACCACCAATTTAAGCTGCCAAATTTTTGAAGAATAGGGCCAAGCTCACACGTTGAACTCACACCGACAGGTGATATTCCAAAGCTACAGAGTCATTCTTTGCTAAGTTGTTTTTCCCCCCTAGTACCCCAAATTTAAAAACATCTATTGGATCATCCTCACAGAATCGTGGTCAGTTGGTTGGGAAAAAATATGTTACTGGTTCTACACGAAGTAGCTTTCGATCACCTTGCCCACTTTGGACATTCTTTGGGAGCCTGGGTTGAAGTTGCTGAGAAGCAGGCGAGTTCTCCTGCTCGTCTTACAGATCAAGTCCCGTGAAACTCAGGGGCTCAGTCCCGTAGGTATAGTGAGCCGTAGTGACAAGCAGATGCGCTTATTTTAAATGTTTTCTTAATAAAACATCAGTCGTGTGTGTCTGTGTGTGTGCGCGGGTGTGTGTGAGGCAGTTCAGGCTGGCCTGGAATTCCCAGCAGTTGACCTGCCTCAGCCTCTCCCTCCTGAGGGCTGGGATTACAGGCGTGCATCCCCAAACCTGGCCAGTTTTTATCTTTCAAATGAGAATACATTTTTTAAAAATCTGAAATTAGGCCTAATTGTTGCATTTCCAAATATTCCTGGGCATAACCCTATTAAGATTTGTTTTTCATAAGGGTTATAAGATTTGTTTTTCGTATGGTTTATGTGGCTCTGAGGCGGGTGCTCCCGCCTTCCTTGATTGCTTATTTCAGTTAAAGCGTTCCACGTAGCAATTTGTAGGTATCCAGTGCAAGATACCCTTTAAAAAATACCCTGGGGTCCTGAGCGTTGAACCTTTCTGGCAGAAATCATTCCGCACTTTCTAAATGTTTTCCTGCTTCTCCGGAGCTCTTAAAGGGAGAGGATTTAAGGCCCGCAGCTAGTTAAGCTTGGAGCAGACGCAGAGCTCATCCTTAACTCGGGGAGCTCGGGGCACTGTCTCCAGCTGCTTGCAGTCCCGGGGCTCCCGAATGCGCCCCCAGTCCCGGAAGCAGGCTCCCCGGCTCCCAGGACCACCCCCGGCTCCTGATTGGAGAGGCTTCGCCACCGCCCCAGCCCGCCGCCTACGATGTCCCTGAGAACTGATTTGAAATAAGAGCCAGGCAGCCCTCGCTTCCCTGCGCCCGACTTTTCATAGGCTGGGGACAAATTGGTTGAGAAACTTGACATTGTCTTGGGCCGAGTGCGTGTAGCGACAGATCAAAGAAAAAGAGGGCGAAAGCGTGCTCTTCGCTGCCGGTGGATTTCGCTCCGTTGCTTTTGTCTTGGGCTCCTGTTGGCTTTGCTGTCTCCCCGGGAAGACTGCAGCGTGTGCTCCCATGAAGCTCGCTCCCTGCCGGATGGGTCATGGGATTCTAAACATGAGGCAGGTAAGTGGCGGTCGGCACTGGCGCCGAGGACTGGGGAGCGCGGCGCTGGACCCCGGCGACCGGCGACCTGTTACTCCCGAGGTCGGGCGGAGTTCGAGGTGTGCGTTCTTGAGGCGGGAAGTCCTAGCTGCGTTTCCCTAAGGCGACCCAAGAAGCTGATTACCGCCCCCCCACCCCGGTGCTCGCCACCGTCCCCACTTTTACCTCACGGTGGCTGGAGATGGCAGGCAGTCCTCGTAAGGGGCTGAAAGCGGTTTGTAGAATATGTGAATCGAACGCAGTTTGCAGCAGCAGGGAGTACTTTGTGCAGGCTCGGTGTCCAGCTTTTAGCTTGCACCCTACGCTTTGGGGCAAAGGGCCGCTGTGCTCACTTGGGCCTCCCATTCTGAACACTTAGTGTGTGTCTGGCTGAGAAGATGGAACCACCCCGAATCGAGGGCAGGACCCTAGCAGAAAACTACGGATGGGTTGATTTTTTGTTTTTGTTTTTTCTGTCCCAGCAGTTGGGAAACTGTGTTGCTTTGCGACCTCAGAAGAAGCCTTCAAAGTAAGGAGCGGAGCGGAGATAGATAGGGCTTGGGGATTACTTAAATGAGCCTTTGAAAAGAATTGTAAACCAGCAGCTTCTTCTGTCGCCCTGGGCGTGATGATAAAATTCCTTATCAGCCCAAGCAGAGGTTTATAGGCTTTGCCATTAAGAAAGAGAAGGCTTGGGTTAGGAAGCCAAGAAGAAAGTGCAATTTACACCTCAAAGTTATGGGAAGAATCTTTTGTCAATATTTAAATATCAAGATCAGTACTCATAGAAGGGGAAGATGACCCTGGTAAAACATAGCAGGAGGCTGGAAGGGCAGAAACACTGAGGAGTAATAATACTTTTAACTACTGTGTACGTCTCGGTGGGAAAGTTAGCATCTGTACTGTCACCAGAATAGCTCCCCACCTTGTCTTGGAAATGGGCTGGGTGCTTGCCCTTTGGGTGTGATAACTTTAGGGAAAGCGAACCTTCCAATTCCTGCCTAGGGCAAGGAGTTTAGAATTTCGTCTCCTTTCCCTGCAGCTTTGAAGGTAAAGTTCAGTCCCCACCAAGTGTTCACCCAGAAAGCGCCTTAGCCTGCCAGTCCCTCACTAGTGCCCTAAGCAAGCATGCTTGGCAAACTCAGTGAGGACAGAAGAGTATACGTACACACTAGGGCCCTGTGCTTTTCAGTGAATTGCCTTTGCCTCGCTGGGGACAGGGGTGTGTGTGGAGGGGGAGCAGAGGTGGGTTTCTCTTTATGTTGTCCAAACTCTTCATCCAGCTTCACTGTTCTAAAGTCTCACTGTCAGAAGGGATGGGGAAGAGAAGAGAGAAGGCTAACTGCAAAGGATTCGAAAGGAGGAGGAACGCAGAAATATTTTTGACAGAGGTCCTTGACTGGAACAAAGAAGTCATTTGATCTTGTGTGAGCCACCTGTCCTCTCCTGTCCCTGATGGTGTCTGAGCTCAATTTCCAGAATCCCTGTTCCCACACAGTTCCTCTAGGGTGGTGGCACTCCCTGTGCCCAGTGCCCGACGCATGCTCCCCTGAGCTGTAGTAGCATTCGTGTGAAGCTGGAAAGCAGCCCAGTACTGAAGTTTTAAGGGCACAAGTACACATGTAGTAACTCCTTAGTTATTTGATGAATGGACAACTTTTTATCTTACATCTTTCTGTATCTAACATTTTTTTTCTTTGGTCTGCTGCGGACTTGAAAAGAGGATGAAAGAGGAGGAGGAAGTGAAAGAGAGGGCGAGGATTATTGTTCATCCAGGAAACCTGGAGAGTCCAGCTCAAGAATGCAGTGTGGGGGGGTGTGGGATGGTGGCATCACTGCATGGGTTAATCTCAGCTTTATTTTAGTTTCTCTCAAGGCAAAACTGCTGCACCCAGGGAGGGTGAGCCACACCCACTAGCCCATTTGTCATCTCAGCCCACATCCCCAGCTGAATTTGCGGGGTTAACTATCACACCGACCCTGTGTCATCAGCTCAGCAATGAAACTCAATCTTTTTGCTGATGAACGATCCATCCCTAGGGCTGCACAAATGCTTAGTAGCATTGTGGTGGCCCACGAGAGACCCCTGCCACAGACTAGCCAGAAATTCTAGGTGGCCAGAATTAGAAGGGTTTAAGTCTCTGCCAGGCTGACAGAGAAGGAACAGCATAGGACAGAATTTTTTGAGGGTTTGGAGGGCCACCCTGAGTTAGGCTCCCCAGCAGTGTAAACCTGATTTGCCTTTTATCAGGAAGCAATTTTCAAATGTGTGCCAACTTTTCTCTGCACTCTGATCATAAGTGGGAAACCTTGCTGAACCCTCTTTGAGAAGGAATTTGTTGTGTTCCCAGGCAGAAGGAAAGGCATGGCCACCTGTTCTACAAGCCCGGCCAAAAACAACAGGTTTGCCTGTAGCATTCCCACAACTGCAGATATCCTCCCCAAATGGTAAGCTACTCATTGTCCCCGCACAGGAGAACAAATAGTTCACCCTTAAACTGGAAAAAAGTCAGATTATCTAGACAACATTGCCTACTAGACGTAGTTCATGCTTTTACTACCCTGATAACTTTAGCAAGGACTTCAATAAGAGAACAAAGTGTGTGCTATGTCACTGATCATCTGAAATGAGTCGTGTAGCTGCTAAATTCTTACAAGGCTAGGATGCTGTCCTTACAAGGAAGCTGGGACTCGGTTTGATTAGCCCATTTTGCATTCTTTAGATTGGAATTAAACTGCCCAAGGACATCTGGCTTCATAATGAAAGTCTTCGTATTAATCTTTCCTCCGAGGATTAGAAAGTCCTTTACAAACATGATCTATTTATTCTCTGCCACAACCCCAGAAGAGAATGAAGGGCAATTTGATCCTAATTGAACAAATGGTGAGACGAAGGCAAAGAAAGGTTAAGTATAAAGAGACACAGCAAGTTTGGGGCAAGTCTGGGAATGCATACTCACCCACCCAGAAAGACTACCTGTGCAGGCACAGGATCTCAAAGGCATTTTGAGGATGAAAATAGAACCTCTCCTTCAACATCCTTTTACTTATCATTCTGTAACCAGCATGTAGTGTCCCAAGTATGTTGTGTGGTTTCTTTCATTTGAAAATCAAGTCTTTAAAGTTTAAAAAAGGCATTTCTGTTCTTATTTGTCCCAACACTGCGATCAGGCAGCTTTTATGACATCTAATAGGAAGATACTGTAACCGGAATTTTAAATATGCATCTAAGAAATGTTCCCTTTCAACAGATGTTTTAAGTTTTTGCACATGGTTTAGAGAGCTCAATGTCTTCAACATATGCTAAAGTTTTAATTTCTTTCCTGCTATTTCTCTTTTAGGAAATGTTATAATTGTAGGGCTTGCTGTCAATTTAATGACCCTTTTGGCTGTTTTGAAATAATTTCTTGAATTAGCTTTTCCTTATTGTCCTCTGTGAGTCGTGTTCATAGTTTGTCTGGCTTTTTTTGGACCACATAGGCTGCAAGCAGATCCGTTAATTGGTGGTTGCATGTTATCCACAGACATTCCAGCAAGTTCTAAGGCTAAGTATGTATGTGGATGTCTCTGGCTTTGATCCCTTGTGTGGTAAATAGACATCCAAGGTAGCTATGGCAACCCGGGCTGTGCTTTGGTGGTAGTGGTGGGGAGGGTTGGTCACTGGACAAAGAGTAACGTGTTTGATTAGAAAAAGATGGGGTGAAATCGGGAAAATTTTTTAACCCACATGATTTGAAGATCCCAGTTCATCCAAATCATTTGGATTTTTCTTGATAGGCAAAAAGAATTGATGGCCAACCACATCAGAGTGTTTTGCAGATGTAATTTAAATTCTTTTTTTTTTCTAATCGAGTGGTTGCTACTGTCCAAAAGCAACTTAGGATGTCAACATCATCACTATTTCTGTTGTACTTCATGTGAGTGTTGCTGATTTCAGAAACTTTAAAAGAAAAAACAGGATTTGGTTGGAGGTGTGCATTTCAGTTATCCACCTGCAGGGGTCAGGCTTGAAGTTTCTATGATGGAAGATTAGGCCGCGGAGCCCCAGGCAGAGCCACAGAGAATTACTCTGCTGATTTAGAACAATTAGTTACCAATTCTTTCATCTTCTGACCACGGCTACTATGAAAACGATCTTATTCAAGGAAGAGAATATCCAATACACTGTGATTAAAGCAAGGGCAATAAAGCCAGGCCAAACAGGAATCTACTTTCCAGTTAGGTATGGGGCAGTTTATCAGGAAGATTCTGGCCCTGTTATTTTACACCAAACTCATCTCAGGGGTTTTCTTCTCAAAGGTGATTTGCATAGTTTCATGAACTGACATGTTCTAGAAATGTCTTTAAATGAATATTATGGATCCATTGGGATTCACAAGATTTTCTTTCTGCTCCAGAGAAAAATATTCATTGATAAATTAGAATACTTCATGGCTACCAGAAGGGGGTGTTATGGAGCGCCAGAAATTGAGGCACACATACAAAAATTTCTCTGTGCAACTTTCCTAAAAAAACTAGAAAACCAGTTATCCCCCTCAAAAACACCTGTTTGTTTTCGTGCTTTAAGAAAGAGGTTCTGAGTAAACAGGGCAATGATGGGAAGAGGTGCTGGCTGTTTCTGCTACAAATGGATGTTGAAGGGTTTCTATTCAGCCCACTGTTTTTGTTGAGTACAATGGCCAGGCTCTCCTTCAGCTCTTAACATTGTTATGGCGCTTGGAGGGCAGGCAGACCAAGGAAGAGAGCAGCACTCAGAGAATTGAAAGCAAAGGTAGGCTTATTTGCCAGCTGGCTAAGGGAAAGTTGCCTTCCAGAGTCAGAGCCTGGACTCTAAGTTTGTTTTCTTTTTTATCTTGTTCTTTAGCCAGGGTGGGGAAGCAAGCAGAATGTTATAGAAAACAGAGCTTAGCACAGGGGTAGGGGCAAATACTGCTTTTAAGACATAGGGAGGTACAGGCAGGTGTTATTTCAGCAGTTCACCT